CTGGGATCATAACTTTGTACACTGGATTTCCTATCCCCTTATGACATCGATAGGTATTAAACGTCCTAACTATTTTAAAAAACTATTAACTATTAAGTCTCCTATATTAGAAGAGTTTTTATACTTTAACAAGGGTTTTTGGTAATATACGAAGATTTTGATATTCATAGGTTTTTAATAATTCAAAGAGATAATTAATAGTTTTCGAAGATGTTGTTTGGGCACTTGAACTTACAATCTCTTGGAGTGTATAAATTAACCCGTTTATGAATTAGTGGGAGCTGTAATTTTTTATTAAACCTTGGGGGTCTCTAAAATTTACCATGAATTACAGTAAAATTACCAAATGTCCTTAAGAATTGACCCTATCTTTTATGAATCGATGGCTTTGTACACTTTTATGCAGTTTCACGGCTTTAGCCGAAAGCTAGCAGCCCATTTCCAGCTATTGAAGCTCACTTTTGGACCCACAAAAGTGATTAGAAGCCTTTAGCCAGTGATTAAAAGATGTTGAAAGCTATTAATTAATTAATCTAACCTATCTAGGTTAAAACAAAAGCAGGTGCTAACCCTATTGTACTTTGAATTTTAGATGTTACTTTTTGGACCACAACTATCGTACAGGTAATGTATTATTTATATCATGATATTTGATAATATCACATTACTGGCAAGCTCTTTGTTATCATTTTTATGTGAAATTCGGTTAATCACTACACGTCATGTCATTACCATTATCTGTAATAAGCTAATCACGAGATGTCATTTTAGCATCGTGATACGTTGTCAATAATTATTTTACAATTTTTTCATTTTAATACGATTATTAAATGAAGTACCAAAAAAAAAAAAAAACCATAGTTAATATTATAAACATGGAAATTATTGTTTGGATTATAATTGCATAAATCTTTAAGATATAGCCAATTTTTAACTGAAAAATCTGTAAGTTTTAAATCTTATTTTAAATTAGTAAAAGAGGAGTCCAATTATGGGTCAGATTTTGAATTGTTAATTGAAGGTGGGTGAATTATTTTGAATTGTTAAGGTCAAAGAGGTTTACTTTCTTCATTGAGTCTTGGGTTCGAACCTTGGGGTTATCTACCACTTTGTGACTTACTTAGTCCTTAGGACTTGTAGGGTGTTCAATAGAAACCGAAGATTAATTAAGATACACGTAAGCTGGCCCGGACACGTCGGTTACCGAAAAAAAAAAGTGACGTTCTATTAATAGCTATAACTTTAGATCTGTTGTACAAAAAATACACACCAATGTCGGCACCACCAATCAGAGTTTAACCAGTAATTGGAGATAAGGTTGTATTACTTGTCTAAAACCCAAACCGTCTCCAAGAGATATTTTATATCAATCCTATCATATTTTAAGATAAGGATTAAGGAGTGGTCCTCACTGTCAAGACAACTTGCAAAAACACTCATTACACTGACTTTAAAGGTATAAACTGACACCTCTCTTTGTGAAAAAAGGGCTGGTTGGGCATATAAGAGTTAGACAAACATTTGAACTATAATATTTTTTCTCTATAAACAAAACATTTCTCAATTCTTTGTATATCTTATAGGCAATATCAGAAAAATAGCCAGAGAATAATAAAATAACAGTTGATATAGGATTCGCTTTAAGCATCCGAATCACTATAAAAATCTCTCTTGTCAATCTATTATTTATGTCTCTACAAACATATATAATCTTTGCACCATAAACACTTCTCAAGAATCATTCACGTCTAATTTTTAAGAGCTCCTTAACACTTTGCATGTGCGAGTCATTGGTGTCAAAATCAAGCATCAACAGTTTGACGCTAGAAGGAGGCATGATTCACATCAGCTCTCCATGTTTTTCTAGTAAGCCTCAAAATCTTCACGTTATCAGATGTGAAAATCTGAAGTCTATTCTAGATCAGAGCTATCAGATTGCGTGGTCAGGTCGTAGATCGCACGCATCAAAGCTCTCAAATCGCATGGTCATATTGCAGATCGCACGCATCAAAGCTCTCAAATCGCATGGTCATATTGCAGATCGCACGTATTAGAGCTCTTAGATTGGGTGGCCAGATCGCAGATGACACGTATCAGAGCTCTCAGATCGCGTGATCAGATCATAGACCATACGCATTAAAGCTCTCAGATCGCGTGGTCAGATCGCAGATCACAAGTATCAGAGCTCTTAGATCACGTGGTCAGATCGCAAATCGCACGCATCAGAGCTCTTAGATCACGTGGTCAGATCGCAAATCGCACGCATCAGAGCTCTCAGATTGTGTGGCTAGATCGCAGATCACACGCATCAGAGCTCAGATCGCATGGGCAGATCGCAGATCGCACGCTCAGATTACCCAGATCGTGTGGTCAAATCACAAATCGCATGCTCAGATCATCCAGATCGCACATTCAAGATCGTTGAGATAATGCGTTCAAATAATTTAGATCGCGCTTTCGAGCGGCTAGATTGCGCTTCTGAGCGGCCAGATCGTGCTTCCGAGCACCTAGATCGCTGATCTCGAGTTCTCAGATCAAGTTTTGCGCTTTCTTATCGAACTCCTTGTGTTCTCAAATTAAGCTTCGTGCTTTCTGATCGAACTTCTTCTATTCTCAGATCAAGCTTTGTGCTTTCTAATCGAACCTCTTTTGTTCTCAGATCAAGCTTTGTGCTTTATGATCAAACTTCTTCTGTTTTCAGAGCAAGCTTCGCGCTTTCTGATCTAACTTCTTCTGTTCTCAGATCAAGCTTCGCGCTTTCTGATCAAACTTCTTCTATTCTTAGATTAAGCTTTATTCTTTTTGATCGAACTCCTCGTGCTCTCAGATCACAAAGAGCTCTCGAGTTCTCAGATCAAAGCTTTTTATGCTCTTTGATCGAGCTCATAAGCTCGCTCATTTGCTTGAGATCGCACACTGTTGATCGTTCAGATCGCACGCCTCAAGCTCTCAGGTTAAGCCCCTATCAGATCGTGATCAGCTCCTAGCTCTCAAATCGTAATTAGCTCTCAGCTCTAAGATTGTGAACAGCCTCAGGTCGTTTTCTCAACTCTCAGATCATGATCAGTTCTCAGGTCGCGACCAGTTGCCAACGTCAGAAAAACATGTAGAAAACTCAAAACAGCCCAGAAACATGCCAAAATAGTGGATTTTGGTCTCGAACATGGCCCCAACTAGGTTCCCCTATTTCCACGACGTAGAGCTCGGAACGAGCTTTCCGTGGATATCATACGGACTCCAAAACTCCTCCCGGATCAAAAGTTATGACTGTTTTTAATTGACTTGTCCGTTTAAGGCCTCTAAGCCGTGCGTTTGGGCTTCTGATGTTAGCTCTCTCCAAGAATTCATCTACTGGACATTTTATGTTAGTTCTCAGATCGTGCTTAGCTTTGGATCGCTCCAAGCTCTCAGATTGCAATCTTAGCTCTCAGCATCGATTACACCAGGCATAGTTCGAGCTCTTCAGTTCGAGAATGTAGCCTATAGTGCGACAGTCATTTTGGGGGGGGGGGGGGGGGGGGGGGGGGGGGGGGGGGGGGGGGGTGTTCTGTTGTGCCAAAAATACACACTAATGTCAGCACCATCAATCAAAGTTCAATCAACACTTGGAGATAAGGTGACATTAGCTGTCAACAACCCAAACCGCCTCCAAGAGATATTTTATATCAATCCTATCCTATTTTAAGATAAGGATTAAGGAGTGGTCCCCACGTGTCAAGACAACTTGCAAAAGCATTCATTACATTGACTTCAAAGACACCTCTTTTCGTGAAAAATGGGCTGGCTGGGCATATGAGAGCTAGACAAACATTTGAGTTTTATTATTTTTTCTCTATAAACAAAGCATTTCTCCATTCTTTGTACGCCATACAGGCAATATCATAAAAATAGCCAGAGAATAATAAAATAACAGTGGATGTATGATTCGCTTTAAGCATCCGAACCACTATAAAAATCTCTCTTGTCAATCTATTATTTATGTTTCTGCAAACATATATAATCTCTGCACCATAAACACTTCTCATAAATCATTCACGTGTAATTTCTAAGAGCTATTTAACACTTTACATGTGCGAGTCGTTAGTGTCAAAATCAAACATCAACAGGATCCAATAATAAACATTTATTCCTAACAATATCAGTGCTAGATCAAGGGTTCGATTTCCTTGCGAGGAAGTGTTGGCTCAAATGATTTTCATCATAAATCTTATATTCAACGTTACCAATCTTTGTTATCTGTACGGAGATCATACATCCTATATAAAATTATATATTTATATAATAAAATGAGATAATCTTTCTCTTTCTCTCGTGATTTTTCTTCAAGTAGAAGAATAAGAACAAAAATCCTATTTTTAAACTCCATAAATTCCTATTAAGTGGACCCAAATTGATGCATTGAATTTCATACAAGATGTTTCCAAAATTTCAAGTTTAGTCATCCTCAAAGGTGGAGGCAAGAAATGGTTCCTAGAGTTTCCTCCAAATTGTTGCCACATGACATGATTTAGACATATCATATGTTGTAGTTTTCACCTTAATTTTGTGGTCCTTTTGTCCCCTCTCTTTAGGTCCTACTTGGGTTTTTAGTTTTTTTACTTTAGTATTGCTTTTATAATCAGGATTATGATTATATGATTACATATTTTATTATCAAGTTACTTTCGTAAGTTCGAAAAAAGTTACAAAAGAAACTCAATTAGTTTCTTCTTTTTATGAACATCACTTATAGGTAAAAAAATTAACTATTTCTAGATGACCGAGTGGTTTGATAGAGATTATTGAGTGTATTATTCAAGAGGTCTTGAGTTTGAGTTTTTCCTCAGTTGCTAATAAGGATAGCCACTGGAACTCTTGCTTGGTCGGTAGTTCCAAGGTCTTGGGGGATTAGTTGAATTGCATATAAGCTGACCCGGACACTCCTGGTCATAAAAAAAAAAAAAAAAANAATGAACATGATTTCAATTTCAATGAAGGATGGCTGCAACTATGAGAGCGAAAATGAATCGAAAGAAGCTGGAGAAGCTTAACATCATCCAAATCTGGTTATAGTTATTTAATTTGCTATTTCTTTATTTGTATATCTGTTCTTACTCTGTTTGGCATTTACGAGCTCAGTTAATTTCATTAAATCTTTTTTTCTTTTTTATGTGTGTGTATGTTGCAGTGAAGAGATTTTGAATCCACCAGTTCCTTTGGCTTTGAGACTCTCTGGAATTCTCATGGGTAATTAACATATTATTAACTCTGTTTTTAATTTTTCACTTCATATTTCCATCGACCGTTTAAATTAGCCAATCACATATACGTATTTATTTTATTTTTTCAGGTGGAGTTGTGATTGTGTACGAAAGAAAAGTGAAACTCCTTTATGGTAATTCTTTTAAATATTCAGCTTACTGTTTAGAATCTGTGAATAAGAACTTTTTGAATATGCAATGCCTTTTTTTATACTTTTTTGTTTGTTTGTTTGTTTTTACAGATGATGTTAATCGACTCCTGGTAAATTTCGTGAAATTTTTTATATATTCGTTCAATTTGTTCATCACTTATCAGTAGCAATGTTTAGTGTTTGAACTATGTGTACTTCGGTGATTAATGGTTTTAGGTAGAAATGAATGAAGCATGGAAGGTAAAAGCAGCTGCAGATCCAACGGTACTCCCCAAAGGAAAATCACAAGCCAAGTAACCACTAACCATTTCTCTTCTTGACTATCAGCTCAATTTGGTTTTAGCATTAAAAAAAATAAATAAATAAATAAAATAAACAAAACGAAACGGCGTAGTTTCAGAATTTTTACAACCAGATGGTTATCATCATCATCATATTATTGTTTTAAGTTATTTCAACTGAGTTGATCTTGGGTAAGCAGCTAGCCCTGAAAGTTGTTACAAATATTTCGTGGTTTCAGCTTGTGAATTTAACCAACTAAAGTTTAGAATACAATTCAGTGTAGTGAAACTGATGCGGAAGGGATGTTCTATAGGCAACAAAACATGACCCATTTCATTGGAGCTAACTTACAATTGCAAATTGAAACAGCACACGTAAGGATTAGAAGAGTATTGTTTTGAGTTAAATGTGTATATGGTGGATGAAAAGGTTAAAGCATCCTTTGAAAAAATTAATGACTCACAAGGTTAAATAATATCTGTGTGTTTTACTTTAACATTTAGGTGGAGTTGGTACCATCGGAATTAGATATTCTAACGTAGCCTTTTGGAAGTATTGGTGAATATATAGACATTCTTGTTTGCTTTATACAGTTAAAAGAGAGACATTTCTTTGTTCCAAATTAGAATTTAAAATCTTATTGAACTATATGTATTTAGTTAATTTCACCAAGTAGATATCATAAGTTGTTTATTACGACTGTTCTCATCAAAATCTTGAAAAATAAATAATTCTGGCTTAAAGCTATTCGTTAGGTTCTGTGAATAATTGCCGAACAAATGGGTAATATTTTCAGTAGCAAATACTCTCTGCACATTCTTTGTTGATGGATGCTTCTTGTTTCCAGAGTTAAAAAATATTTTGTTTGTATTTGAAACGGCAGATAAGAGACCTAATGAACATTACTGGTTATTTACTCTTATGGCAAAACCATTTAATTTGTTATAGAAATGTTGTTGTTGCTATTGATTGTTGATTTTCATGTTTTTAGGAAAAAAACTATTACATTGCCTGAGAATCGAGAGACAGATTTTGAGGATATTGAGCCTTCCCTTAATTTCTCAAACGCTGAGATGGAGTTCCAACAAACAACTTTCTGTGCAATGGTAAGTTACTAAGTTGTAATAGCACATTTATAAACACTTTAAAAACTGTTGCAGAAACTTTTTGTGTGATTGAGATGTGTTTGATCAATGAACCCGATTACCCATTGATGCAATAGTCAGACCAAAAAACAAAAAAGTTATGTGTGTATTCAAGGCTCGAGTGCAAAATCCTAGTCATTAAAGATCAGGGTTATAAAATGTGGTTTCTTACCCTGTCAAGTTTTGCTCAAGATGTAGGATAGACGAACACTAGGCTTCAAAATGAATTCTTATAATTCCTCTGCTTTTGGGGTAACAGAAATAGCTTACATGTCAAATATAGACTTCTTCCTATCTAAGCTTCACCAAAAATGTCCTTACCTCAGTTTTTTAGACTAAATTTTCTTTAAACGGTGCAATTATTAGTATCCTTTCAATAATTTTGCTTGTTTATAAATTTAGGAGATGCCTTTGAGAACTTGTTAGTTCTTTGAGAAGGTCCCTTCAAAATTCTTGTTGGCTTTGTTTGAGTTTTTATGATATCCGGAAGAGATAAAAAGAAATTTTTCATCCTCAGCATTTTCATCTTTTCAATTTCAAGAGTCCCCAGTTAGGTAGAAGCCCATGTATGAGACACTAAACTATGCGGATAAACAAACCAAAATAGAATGAATTTTTGGACATTAGTGTTCAAAAGCTTTCGTGGAATAATTGCCAAAAAATATTATACCACTTAAATTTCTTGCATTTTGTGTCAGCGGCTGGATGACTTGGATGAAACTTATGTTCACAACGATATAGGAGAGGAGGATCCGTTGCAAAACTTCCATCAAGGTTATTTTTGTAAAACTTAACTTTTCCCTCCCTAATTATTAATTATCACCATGGGCATACATAACTGGACCAGAATCCAATTATTCCCTTCATGCTAACATTTTATCTTCTCTCTCAGTTGATGTTGATAATATCACCTTGTCTGACCGTTTTGATTCCCATCAGGCTAACAACAACATGTTCTATCGGTTTGAAAGGTAGATTTCCATCCATGATAGGTTAACATTGCTGATTGTTACGTTAACTCTCATTATATAGTTAAAGACCCATTGTTAGATAAATATTTTATGGGTAACAACATTAATTTGAGAACAAGCAAAGCAGTTGATGTTTCAAGAGTATCATGGAGCCTCAAGTGATCTCTTTTCATCCTCTATTTGGGATTTCCTTGAAATTATATTATTCACTTTTTTATAGATATCTATAATTATGCTTTTCCGGGTGGTGTGATAGATTTGACATTGAAGAGGACATGGAGCAAATGCCATCAACTTTTATACCTTCCCCACCCCCTCAAGATGAGCCTCAAAGAGGTCAGCAGCCTGGTAACCACTTCACTCAACTTGTTGCTTGCCCTGAAACTTAGAATCCCGAATGAGAATTTACATAAAATATTCAATTTCGGAATCATGCGATTTTTCTCCCTGGTTCATCTTGTTAGGGACTCCCATCAAAGGTGCACTAAGCCTCTCTATATCATTTTAGTCTACTAGTATCGCTGCATTTAACATCTGGTAAACTAGTAATAAGATATTTATTAAACTGCCCATCATCATGCTTTCACTAACAATGACCAACTCATATTATGTTGTGGTTATTCTTTTTTTGTTTTTTGTTTTTTTTTTAATGCTTTTCCTTTTTGCTGCTGTATTTTTAACAACTGTAAAAAAAACATTAATTTGAACATGGTGGCCAAAGCCTTAAATATGAGATATAAAACATACGCGGTTGTGTATGCTAACAAAGAAATAGCATAGAAAAATCAAGATGGATGCTATGCTCAGCTCCAAACCTTCCAACAGTTGATGAAACCCATGACCAGCATCCGGAACACCATGTCAATCAACAAGATGAAAGCAAAGAATGGAGACAGGTAATAATTCAATTACGTGGAACATCATCCTTGTGTAAACATTATGACAAAAACATGACAAGCTTGACCAACCTTGATGATTTGGATAAAGCATGGTCAACAGAGGCAAGGACCATTAAGAAAGA